CCCCCAGCCCTTTAGTGCTTCGCGCTTCGTTTCTATTTTAAAATAAAGGCAAGAAGTGTATTTAAAATATCCCTTTTCAGCTTGCAGTATTGTATTTCACTGGCAATGGGAATCTGAACGAAAAGCCCCGCGCGTACTTGGCCCCCTCGGGGAAGCCTGGTCTGCCAGGCAAAAGAAAAATCGAGGCTGAAGGCACCAACACCGCTGCTGCCTTCCCATTGACTATTAGCGTGAAGGTATTTATAAAGGCAAGAAGTGTATTTAAAATATCCCTTTTCAGCTTGCAGTATTGTATTTCACTGGCAATGGGAATCTGAACGAAAAGCCCCGCGCGTACTTGGCCCCCTCGGGGAAGCCTGGTCTGCCAGGCAAAAGAAAAATCGAGGCTGAAGGCACCAACACCGCTGCTGCCTTCCCATTGACTATTAGCGTGAAGGTATTTTCGCATAAGGGGTTAATAGAGAATGCCAGCCCGCGCAACTGTGAAAGATTATTTAAACAAACAAAAAAAACCCTCGCATTTCAAAGCGTGGGTGGGAAGGAAAAGCCGTGCTGAACCTAAGAAGATGCACAAGTGCAGGCTGTAAGTACAGGCAAAAAGCTCTGAGCAGCTATTGCCCAGGAAGAACCCCACACCCGGGGTGTTCGGTTGTACCCAACTGCCATCGTTCAGTCCAGCAGCTAACTGTGGTACTTTCCCGTTCAAGCACTACGCTTGAACCTGGAGAGCGTATGTAAAACGCATAACAAGCTAAACCTATTTGTTTAATTTTTATGCACAGCTTTAATCTACCCTGATCTTCACTAATCTCTTTGCAGCTATGTCCCCCTCTTCCCCCCCTCAACACTGCCGATAATTAACTGCCACTAACTTAACCTTGGCTCTCAGTTACTTTGTGATTGCTCGCTCTTGAAATCACTACCTGGAGTAAATTCACATGTGTTAGTTTAAGCCAAAAAGAAGATAGGTACCTATCTGTTTCACATTAGGAACGCAAAAATTCCAACATGCTGCTATTGAAGCCTGTGTTTTCTAGTAATTTTAGATTTGTCATATAAATTAAGCCATTAAATGCTGTTACGTTCCTTCAGATACAATCAATCCCTAGCTAGTGAAAGAGTGAAAACTACAGTAACAGCCATGTAGCTGACCAGTTAACCTCCGACATCGCGGGTTTCCCTTCCTGAGTCACTGTAGCAATCAAAATGCCCTACAAGATTTAAACAAACATTATCATTAGGCTTAAATATTTTAAAGAGAACATTTTCCTAACCCGTATGATTTTAAAGCAGTAGGCCTGTTCTTGTTATAACAAGTATGCACTACCAAAAAAGCTAGCAAAAATGCAATACAGTATCAAACAGTCCCCAGTCCTGCTAGAATAAGTCAATCCATGCTGTTAGAAAAAGATACTATGAGAGCTTTTTGTTTTAGAAATAATTTATCTCTCTTCATAGGTAAAAATACATTTTAAGTTACAAGGCTGCATTTAAACCCCGTGGCACCATTAAATTGCAAATCAGTAATTTCTGCCTCTGTTCAGTGAATAAAACGTGGCATCCAGCCCACCCCATCTATTAACCATGTAGCGTAATTCTACAGCAAATGCGAAGGCCTTCATATTTAGCGGGGAAGATCACAAGTACAAACATTTCAGCAAAAACTAATTAGAAATAAAAAACATTATACCTAAAGTTCCATATCCATCCATGTCTTTAATACTGGTATGGATGTCAAAGACACCATAAAGAAAATACATCATACACTTAAAATAATTGACAATATAGCATTTAAAAGACATTCTCCAGTATATAAGCATATATATATAACCCATATCACATTTAAACACCTCTTCATATGTTCTTGTGGTCTGTTGCATAATAATATGTGCTGTTAGATGCTTTAATTATGCCAAGCCAGCAACAGTTATATTTCAGAAGGAAACGAAACTTCAACTGTTGTATAATCATTACTGCAAGGCTTAATGATGTCTAAAAAAGAAACAGCATTTGTGCATTTTGTAGATTTTTAGGTGGAGATAGGGAAATACAAAGCTAGATTTTTTCAGACTGAATTATATTAAAAATTCAATGTTATGGGGTTTTTTTCCAGAAAATTGTAAGCACTGGGGTAGGAGCAGAACCTGCATAATTGGACCAAAAAGTATCTGCAGCCAGATTACAAAGTTGAATGTAGTTTAAAGCAAATATACATGTAATTCAAAAGTCTGAGGAACACTTGGCAGAACATCTCAAATACCCAACACATTTGTTCTTTCTTTTGAAGGATGAGATTTTTACTCCCCTAGTATGCATATGATTTTTACTTTTAAAAAATGTTACAAAAGACTTCCACTCTTCTTTATGCAGCAGTTAAACAAAGCTTTAGAGAGGGACAAAGAGACAGAGAAGGACAGAGACCTATTTCTAGCTAATAATTTGCAAAATATTTGATACTTTTGTTTTCTTGCATGAAAATTTTAAGGAAACAATACTGTAATTACAATATTTTCAGATGTTCATGTAGAAATCTGATACTTGTAATGCATATATTTAAATACTTCAAAATATCCCTTATATCAGGCACAAAACCAGATTTTTTTTTTTAATCAGGAAGATAAATATATGAACTAGCTTTGCTAAAACCCCTTTCATTCTGCTTTCCTGACATGTTACTCATGTGTAACAAAATATCTCTGTCACTTTCTATTCTTTTTAAGATTTATTACTTTAATAAAGTATTTACTCCTATATTATATGATCTCATCTTGAATACAATACAGTGAGTCTAGCACAAGCGCTGACCTCACATGAATTAGAAAATTATTATTTTGAGAGAAAAATTTTAGACGTTTAGTCACTCTGCAACCAGACGTCAACCTAAGTCACAGGGCTTTTATGTACTGGCTGGCACCCACTATTTTAGCCAGTATACCCCAGTATACATCTCAAATTGCCTCTAAATTAGATTAATGGTGATAATGACTTCATTTGATTATTAAAGGTAGAAAGCTAAGGGGGGGGAAAAAGCATTTATCCTGCCTTTATATACATGTATAAATTTTCATAGAGAAGTCATGTCTAGAGCATATCTTCATTTCAGTTAACATTCTCAGTTTCAAAGGCAAATACCTGAAACACAGTTAGGGGAAAACATCTTTGCAATACTTCTCCTGAGGGCTGAAAGAACATGCATAACTCCTCTCCCAGTTTTTTTTTTTGTTGAAAGAATCAGCAAAAGAGATAGCAGGTTTAAAACAAGATACTATTCTTTCTATGAAGGAAAGATAAAGAGTTGTTTTAAGACAATAATCAAGGCATCCAAACATCCAGAGTTTTGGGACAAGGCAACAGACAAGCCATTTTATAGCACAGCGTACAGCTGTTTCCAAACTAGCTTTACATGAGCTACAGGAAGCAGTCTGGCAGAGGCAGTGTCAGGTGAGACAATTTACTCCACCCAAAGTAAAAGGATGCCTAAATCATGCTGCTACAACTACACCATTTCTAGTAGCCAAACCCACGTCAGCATATGCATGCTGTGCTGCAGGAAACATCTCTGTTCTTCAGAAGTTTCATCAAAACGTTTTCAAATTCATTTCCCAGCATTTTAGCAGCACTTTTGACAGCTTAAACTACATGCTCTTTAGACAGATGAAGGGAAGATCACCAAGTGGATAGACCTTTTCTGTGTAAGAACAAGAAGTGAACTTCAGCAGAAGGTGAAGAATTGGAGACAAATAGATTGCTGTGAAAAACTTTGAGCTGAAATCTCTCACGATGCAAACGGTTACCTTGTCCTGGCGAAAGACAGTATAAAGACCTGCTCTGACAGCTTTAAGGTGGCCTATCCTTCCTTCCCGGCTCTCAGGAAGACTGTTTTCATTTAAAGGTTATGGAACGAGCAGCAAAGTGTATGGAAGAAGCAGAGAAGTACAGTCTGTAGGAAGGTACCTTTAAGCAAGCTGTTGAGAGCCTGAAGAAAACCAAGTTTGTTGAAAGAGAGAAGCAGCAGAGAGAAGGAATATGCTCTGTTCCTCATCAGAGGATTTCAAAATGAAGCATCTGACTCACTGAGGGGATAAGTCTCATCTTAGCATGTATTTGGATGAGGAAACAAAGAACTACAACTTCACTTTTGTACGTGCTACCACCATTGCAGAAATACCGACAATATCTTGGTCAGTTCACAGCCCAAGCAAACAAAAACAGGTACTTGTCTTGAGGTGTTTACACCAAGACAGTTATTTTTTCCCCCACTAAAAACACCTCAGAAAATTACTTGAAGCTGAGAACCACAAATAAGTCAACAGGATCCAAAGAAGGGTTATGAATTTAATACAGCAGGTAAGAGCTCTGCAATATGAAAAGATTCCAAACAGCTGTCCCTTTCAACTACCCACTTCATATTCAAAAAGGAATAAGTAACCTTTTCCCCTGAATTTGACTCTTCTGCCACTATCAGTTGCAAGGGAGAGTTAGCTTCTTATTTGCAGAAGTGTTTCAGAAAAGGATCTCAGATGATGGGCAGGATTTAATAGTCTGAAATTGGATTAAACACCCCAACTCCTCAAAAGATTGTCAGCAGGTGATTTGGGCCTGAGCTTTCCAACATAAGAGGTATTTGCCCAACTGAGTAACATGAAATACACTTAAAGGGTGACATATAGAAGTTCAACAATCTTGTGAAAACTGTTTGTTACCAAGTGGCTTTCACCAGTTTCCACTAAAATTGACAGATAAATCTGGCAAGAATATTTTATTTCCTCCTGAATTTCAGGTATAGGAGATGCCCAAAGTACTAAAAAGGTCTCCACCTAAATGAAGGGTGAGGACGCTACCAGTAACACTTGTACTTTGAAGCAGAGCTACATCTTGCCTGCACTACACTTGAAAAGCTCATTTCCCTGAAAAAGTGAGCGCTCTACATAAACATTTGCATGCCTTGTGAAATCCGCAGACTACATCAGGAATAAATCACATATCACTAACAGGGCCACAGCCATGTCTACAAAGTCCAAGACATTCAACTTAGAGCGAACGAAAGGACAGTTATGCCACTATTTGTTGATTTGAGCTCTTCTCGATATTCACTTAGGCACTTATTCACATGGAATGTCTGTCCCACAACAAAAAGCCACGCTTTGCAAGACATGCAAGATAGTGAAGGTTAAGATTCACTGATTATTTTCCATTCAAAAGATCCAATTTCTTTGGGTACCTCTCACAGAGGTTCTAGCCTGTTACTGTAAATCCAGTCTAGTACCATCTGTGGTTGGTACTGGTAAGACAAGAAACACCCATTCACTTAGTTACATATCTAAACTACCTGTCCCCTACAGAAGTCTTAGAACTGCAGAACTTGTAAGATCTAACACAGCGAAACCCTTAATATGGCATTGTACCAAAGAGCCTCCTTTGAGACAAGATCATCTAGCATACATAGACCATCTATTTCAATAGAAGCAAAGGTAACATGTCAAATTACTCTGTGACATGGCCACCCGTTATCTATTTGATTTTGGGTCTTTGAAGTTGACAGGAAAGGGAGATCTGCATGCTCTCTATAGAATCGTTTTCCCTGTTTTCCAGAGAAATGGAAAAAAGCTGCACAGCAAAGTTCTGAGCATCCTTTTGGCTTGGTGGTTATGAGTGACCGCAGTTCAATTAACAGTGATATTCTATTTAGATGTTCTTCAGTTCCTTGCAAATGTCACGTTTCTCATGCGGTTTCAGCTTATCTATATTGAAATTCCTCCTGCAGGTCGCTTCTGCAAGCGGGCAACAGTTCATTAGCCTCTCTCTCTCAGAAGCATTAAGACAAACGCTTTTCACGGTCACCACTATTATTTCACATCTGGAGACTTGCCATCACTCCACACTTAGGCATGAAGAGGATCTAACACTGCATTACAGACCAGATTCATGAAAACCTATTGATGCCGATTCATTCGATACATTTTCATTTAAGTCGTTTAGATCTCCTGTCTAATAAGCAACTCGTTTCTATCTTAAGAGTTGACCAGTGTGTATTACCACATGACGGCCAAAGACATTAAGGAGGAACTGAAAGACAGCTGATTCTGCCCTACTTTTTACCCTCAGTAAATTCACTAACTTTCTTGACAGGCTCAGCTTCAACAGACGTTATAATTAAGCAAACCCTATCCTGTGTGGAGGAAAAACATTCAAGTCATCTGCAGAACCTCGGTAGACAATTACATGTGTCATGTATGACACTACATAGTATCATATAATCTGAGACTTCAGTCTACTCAATTGTTCAGTCTCTAGACAGATCTATTTGTGTACCTGCAGTATCAGCGCTCAAAAAGCCTGAGGTCTAGCAGTTTTGTGCCCAGGCCACCTGAGAACACAACGAGGCTTAGGCATTTAACTTATCACTTTCAAGCAGCCGTAACTACAAGGTAAACTGATGCACTTAGAATTCAAGGGTACCAAACCTAATCAATGGAGACAGGGAGAACAAACTAGTTAAACAGAGAAAACTATTGCTTCAGTTTTAGTACATCACTAAAAATTCACTTGGAAACTGATACTTACTCTAAGAGGGTATTTTATTTGCTTTTGGCACATTATACCGACATGCATTGCCCAAAGAGAAGGGGTGCTTTCAGCAGCTTACTGCCACCTGTTGATGAATATCAGAAAGGTGATAATTGCTCTGGATCTTCTGCCAAAGTTTTACATTTGCTCTGTATGGATGCTACAGTGTATTTAAACTAATACCTAAAGAAAAATCCGCACAGTCCCACTAACGTATATTCTATCTTAAGTTTAAAACATGATTTTTCTTTTTTTCTAAACCAACAGTAAGCGCACAGTGACAGGCATTTTAAACAAGTACTTCTTATTTATTCACAATTTAGATAAAGTTTAAAGAAAGACAAAAGAAATACAAAGGACAACATCAAAACGAAAAGGAATTTTAGTGACCAAAAGTGAGTTTCTACAGCCAGTGCTCTCCATACATTTCAAAAAGTTATCCAAACACTGCAGGTGCAGAATTCAAATAAATCCTGTAATAAACCACTATGACTATTCCCTTTGAAATTAAATTGGGAATGGAAGTTAGCCACCTTTCATCTATGATTACATGAACCACTTAATTCTTTCACTTTCTGCTTAAAGCAACATTTATCTTTTACAAGATGGATTCTGCAATACATTTTCAAGTAGCATTTTTCAATTTGTCTGAGCTCTGCTTTAAATAAGTCAGTGTCAACCTTCTGTATAGCAAAACAGCTTTTGATCTTGCTTGTGAAATAAATGCAATTCATAGTAGTGTCACACTTGCAGCTTGGAGGTATCCTTGGAGATACTGCAACGCTTCTGCATTCAGACTAGTACTCAGCATTGATGGGACCTTAAAATATACGAGAGAGCAGAAGTGTCAATGTGTGTGTACATTAAACTACCACTATATCCTGTTAATCACTGTGTCAACAAAAGGTACAAAGTCAAATTACATCCTGACAGCAACAGTTTTTCATTGTGAAAGCAGTTGCTGGAATTACATTCCTGATGCTGACAGCAGTATACCTAGAAGGACTGAAATACTCATAGCAGTTCTATTTGCTTCTTATCTGAATCAAATATGAAAGAACAAAGCAAGCCTTCAGTTATTAAAGCAGATGTTTGGATGCAGCAAGCATCAGATCTTTCAGGCAGTCTTTACTTACCAGAAACTTGAAAACAAATATGCTATGGGTTAAAATAATTAACCGTAATTCACATTACACGCAACAAGTTAAATTTACCTCAAGTTCCCCGATACATAAAATCGAACTGGAGACAAATTCAAATTACGCACTTCCCCAATGGTAAATTGGAGTTTAAAAAATGGCATATTTAAGATTATCACTATGTGAAATAATGTGGAAAATAGTAGTCTTTTAGATTAGCAGGAAAAAAAAAAAACACCTTACAAAACTTACATTCAATTGTAGAATAAGAGAACAACTCCTAGCTTTCCAATTATGACATATTATTTCTGCTGATTATCAAACTTAAGCAAAAGAGGTCCATTGTCAAATGGGCATTTCTTTGTAGGATTTGAGATTAGCATAGCATGTATAAAAGTCACTTACCCTGCCTGGGCACGCAGTAGACAGTTTGTGAAGAGACTGTGCCAGATGAATTCTAGGATTGTTCACCATTTGACCTACAGGATCATGTTCTTTTTTCCCAGCAAAGGCTAGCTGAGAGAATGCAGTCTGATATCCTGCAGTATCTTCTATGTCAATGAAGTGTTCTTCATCAGGGATAGTGTCATCCTCAGGCAGCTCAAAAAGGCCAATTAGGGCCTGCAGCAGAGGAGTCCTACATGTAAACGGGGGAAGATAAAGTCAGAGTTCTTGATGTGTTAGAACAGAAAATATTTTATAAGAATGTCCAAATTACTGAGAATCCTTTACAGTTTAGCTCCTTGCAAGCACTAGCTCAGCTGCTGAAAGCTTATAGCACCTAATCTGCACTGGGCTTGAGGAGTTGTGAAGTTTTGTATACGTGTAAGGGATCCTGTATGTTTTACAGGCATAAGGGAGATGCTCTTACTAAAAGCATAAAAATATGTATTTTTGATCAGGCTGAATTCGCTTAATGTACCTTAAAAGAGCAGTTCTCTTCTAGATTACTCCTTTGCTCTAATTCCACTTTTTTTTTTTTTTTTTTTAAATTCTAGTTCATGATTCCAGTTCATGAATCCAGCTATTTTCATTACAGCTGGAATGGTCTACAATCTTCCCAGATTGCTTCCTCCAAAATTGTATTGTCAAGCCAAGTTCCTAAAGGGTGTCTCTCGAGTTATAAATACTTGTGCTCAGCTCTTCTGACTACCAGAAGAGTTTTAAGTTAAAGCTAGGCCTAACTTTTCAGAAACAATGCAAGGAAAAGGAAGTAGTATTTTTTCTTAAATGCAGACCCACCTACCCTAGGTCAGTGCTCTACGCCCATCACAGAAATCTCAAACCACTTTGGCATCCTTTGAAAATACAGCTTTTTTATTTACTAGAAGAGAAAGTGGTGTGAAAAGCCTGGAACTCAGCCTCATAACAATAGTAGGTCTGAAGAAATCAAAACATAAGTGATTTCTGAAGAACATGTTTTGATTAGTAGCTCACGTTTTCAAAAAAATCAAGTGGTTTCACTTAAAAATCATGAAGTATTCTACCTACCACAGCTTCGTATATTCTGTGTCCATCATAGGAGGACACTCTGTTAATATTTTTGTAATGCCAACAGCACAGATTTTCTTTTCAACTTGTCCAGACACTTTCTGTATTTCAGGAATTATTATTTTCTCCAAAACCATTCCAAACATCCTGTTACAATGTTAAAATAAAAAGTATTAGACAGTGAGTGTATCAGCCTTATGGTGACAATGTGAGACACTAGAGAAAAAACAAAACAAAAATCTCAGAAAACCTGGTAACTAACGATGCTGCCCTGCCACAGCATACACCCGCTAGAAATTTGATAGCGCAAACTTTTCACAAACAGAGTCAAAAACTACCACTTGTCCCTTCTTATAACCTGCTCAGGTGATTAATATCTTGAATTATCACAAAACAACTGTAGGCACCAAATTAGAAAAAAAAAAGAAAAATCGCTAAACAAAGAAATTAACCTGTCTCCACAGCAGAAGAAATCACTTTGGTTAGTCAAACCGGGTTTGTCTAGTCAAATTAGCAACAAATACACTTTTCCATTTTAGCTAAGTCTCAACTATTTCCAGCAGAAAAAGACAAAAATTATATAGTGGTCAAATAAAAATCATACTAACTTTGGTTGTATGCTATCAAATATTTCTTGAAGAGCTAATGCCCCATATTTTATGCAGTACAAGTTAATGAAGACTAGGAAACCTGTAACACAAAGAGAAGGTCAAATTAAAATCAACAGGCAAACAAAAGATGAGCTCTAGAGTCGGCAGCAGAATACATTATAGTAAGTTTTTGACTGGGTTAGCACCGGCATTCCAAGTAAGTGCCATGTATTAATGAAGTGTATTAAATACATTAACCTGTTACCTAGACTTTCTGAAGTTTGTCTAAAAAAGTTGCCGACCTTTTCACATACCACAATTATTAGAAAAACTTAAACATGGCCATAGAACCACTAAAACAAGACTCGATCCTTTTTCCCTTATAAAAATCATAAAGCATGAGAAAAACTCTCAAACTTTTTGGATCATGAACTACAAGGTCTCTTGAATGCTTTCAGTTAAAAACTGTTAATATGATGCAGTTTTTCAAATTAGTTGTGAACTGCTTTAAGTGGCCTTCGTACTAAAACAAGCAGATCCAATACATTAAGAGTGCTGCTTAATTCTAGTTTGAAGATGAGCATTATAAGCAATCATATCATTCTTGCTATCAATAGAAGGCTCTGACCAGTTTTTACAGGATTAAGAAAAGGATGTTGTATAATTTGTGTAGCAGCTGTAACAGTAACATAATTTAATCAATACGCCAATAATCTCCAAGTTACTGGAGAAATAACCAGAATACACATTCCAATAATTTGTCACATTCTTGCTTGTTTAATGCAAAATCTTATCAATAAGTTAAGCTACATTAAGCAGAATGATACACAAATGCACAGAAAATTTAACAGTAATAACACAACTATATATAACAAAAGCAAGTGACATCAATATTATTTTCTCCGAGACTGAAAGTTCGCCGGTATTAGAGATGAAATGGAGACCCTTTCAGATAACTAGTGATGCCTTCCAGAGTATGAAAGTGGAAAGGAATACACAAGCTTTTCCCCTCATTTTCGTTCCACTCTAACTTCCGGTGAATTAAGTATGCCAGTGCCCTACACACAACCCTTTATTGTACAAATAATTTGAAGCAAGTCACTGATGTTAAGAGCTCACTATTCCCTCTTTATCCGCATAGTCACAGGACACTACATAACACTTATTCAATACGGTTGCATATTCTAAACAGTCAGCATCACCGGCACACGACACTTCGTAAAGCAAGGAACTTACTTTTAATAAATTTTGTTGTTTTGGAATTTTGAAGTCTTTGGAATAGTAGAATGAAGATCTGTTTCCTGTACTGGTCAACTGACTCACTAGAAGTTTAAAATAATAATTATTCAAGTCATAATAGCATTTTACTGATGTTATTTTACAGAAAACATGTACAGAATATTTCAAGTCTATTTTACTGACAGATGTGACTTTTTAAATTGCTAAACATTAAATATGAAGTGTATAAACATACCAACTATTGAGAATTACAGATATTAATTCTGAACATAGTTCCCTCTCATACTCACGGAGGCATATGCTCTATAATACTGTTTAGAAGATAGAATCCTTGATGGTCATTAGCTTTAGAGGCAATTAGCTTCTGGAACACACCTAACAATCCAGGCTGTAAAAAAAAAACAAATATAAAACTATATACTACATTTCTTTGTATGGGATCTACCAGAAACTTGTCCCTGTGATCTAAAACCCATACCAAAGCAAAAGCTTTCATAACCTAATAAAGGTTTTCTTCAGTTAGATTTCTAATGCGAGCAAGCGATGTTCCCTTTGAGCATTAAGACTAACCTTGACTAAATGAACACCAAAGCCAGTTTGAACATGCACATCTGCCTCATCCCTGGCATTGTCTAATCAAGTTTGACTACAGCAGATCATGTAGCAGAAATGACAGAAGCTAAGTACACAGAACAAGTCTCCCATGGAAATAACTAACCCTCGAATCTCCCAACACCTTTGCACCTCCTCACTCAACTGTTCTGAAAGGAACCTCTGAGTTTTCCCGATTCCCCATGTTCCTAGTGAGGTAAATAACACAGGAAAACTGTAGAAATTTATCTGCTTGTAAAAAGCCACAGGAATCAAATGCAAGAATTTTACATCTTAATTGATAAAAGCATGCAGAAAAAATAAATCCCAGACCGTCATAATGGAAAAGGCATCCAAAAAGCTTAAATTCATGGTATTTTTTGTCCCTGTATGTAAAGGCCCATTAATATAAAGTACGAGCAAAAATTCTGCACAAATCTAGCCCTCCACTAAAGGAAAAAGTTCTCCCCCCTTTTTTTCCTTAAATCTTAAATCAACACGTCTGGAGACATACATTCCTACTAAATCAATCCAACTTACAATTTTATCAGCAGCAGCACTTGCTATTGTATTGGCACCTCGCTCTAAATAAGCCTGCAGGAGTCGGACCAAAGGAGGGATGTTCCCTGTCCTTTCCCATAATACCGGCTGAAGTAGATGAGGAAACAATGCCATATAGGATGATGGAATTTCATTTTTATGCATTTCCAGAAGTAAAGACATCACTTGAAACACATATGGAATGAACTCTGGAACAAACAAAATAAGTGAAAATTTAAGCAAGAACCGTCATTGTCAATTTGTCAGAGCCACGTATCTTTGGACTGAACCCACAAATCCCATGTATTAATACAAAGATTCCAACAACTAAAAACTTGGAAGAAGTACATTGCCTCTCAAATTTGATTACTCCAAACATATGAAAGCACAGTATATATCCAGCTTCCACTTCTTCTATTTGTGGATGTTTCAGAATATAACACGGACAGTAAAGCATTACAAACAAGGCAATGCAGTTCAGAAAATCATATGAAGATTTGGGGTGGTGATTGTTAAATACTTTTAAAATATAGGTTGTTTTAAAAATAAATTAAGGAAGGGGTTGTGCCCTATGGCACACAAACCCAAGCCAGCTGCTTCCTAAAAGAGTTTATCCGGACTGTGAACAAGCTGCACTCTCACTTGGGTTTCCTGTGCTACTGAAAAAAAACACCAGGAGATTAATCAGGGCAACCAATCATAGCAGAGAGAGAGCGCACAAGCACTTACTACTTTTAATTTACCTTGTACATCATTCTGCAGTATCTCAGTGAACACCATAAACAAAGCCTCTTCAAAGCTTCCAACTGCATCAGGGTTTGCTTTGCATGTTATCCTTATCGACAAGCATATCGATTCAAACATGTAATGATTAAAGTGAGGTTTGCTTGGATTCTAAAAACAAGTTATGAACAAATAAATCAACCCAAGCTTGTAGCCATGTCACTTATTTAGTCTAACGCCATTTTCGTTTCAACTAAAGTCTAAAGGAGCAACTGAGAGTAAGGATACTACGCTTTACAAGTACGCCAGTGAAATTAAATCCATAGATACAAAAACAAACAACAATCTATAAAATATAAAGAAAAGATTTTTTAATATATATTTCTAAAAAATAAAACAGAAAAGACGTTCAGAATCAAACAAACTAAATAAGCAGTTACACGCTCAGAAAACAAAACTAGGAAAAATATTACTTTTCACTCATATAAGGTGTCTATTCAGTTGTTTATTAGGTAAATTTTATACTCGGCAGCTAAGTTTAAACTGTATGTTAAAAAGGTTTTCTGGATAGTTGAAGAAAATATTCTGAAGCATTCTCTCAAGTCAGCGTTCAAGAATATTAGCCCAGCTTGAACAAAAAAGATTAAGAGAATTTTGCCTACCAAAAGTAAAAGGGTAATGCATTCAATTTAAGCCCACGTTTCAGTGCTTAAGCTTGACACCAGCCTGAGAAGTTTTCTGGTCAAAGAATAAAGGAGCTTTGAGAAATTTAAATTATTGTAATGCTGCCCTCTGCACAGAGAAACCTTTATACTAGAAAAAGCTATTATTATAAAGAAACTTCATATGCCGTTTTGAAGTTTTAGAAAAAAGCAGAGAAGAACGATTTGAACGTACATCCTGAAAGGAAAACAGTACTTCACTGGAAGGTTGTTTTTGCTTATTTTAATTGAGAAGTACTGACAACTAGCAATATTTTAACAGAACACAAACAACACAGTACATTTAAATATTTAAAGAGATTGTTCTGATAAGAAAGTAGCGTGAACCTTTTTGCTCAGATAGCCTTTTCTTTACCTTACTGACAGCCAGCAGTTTCTGTGTAAGTTGCGTGATGACAGAAGGGATGTATGGAATTATGGATTCCTGTAGCAGAGAAAAACTCCTCATGATAGCTGCAAATAAATTGAAAGTATTATCTTCTGGAGACAAACATATGCTTCTGTCACGTGCTTAAACTCCTTAACCTTTTACTATTAAATCAGACCAAGGAATTAAGAAGTAAGAAAGAGTATCCTGTTAGAAGGATAAACAATCTACAACTACAAGAAAGGATAGAGCAAAGCCTTGCTATCCTCATTCTATAGATGGAGCACAGAAAGATCAAGTAACTTACTCAAAGTAAAAGAGGGTCTTTGCAAAGTCTCAAATCTTGGCACACTATTAGCAATATGCCATTCAGATCTGCTACCGATACGGCTGAGGTAGCTGCCCCGACTATAAAGGCTACCATGTGAGAACTAATTTGTCACACACAACTCTACTATGTTCAGTGCATTTCTTCAGTTCCATAAATTTAGTCAAAGATGACTTAACACAGCCTGGTAAATAACTGCAGACTGTGCATACCATTTTAATAGGCCTGCATAAATCAAGTTTTTCAAATAAAAATTTCAGTAGACTATAAGTAACTATAAATAAACTATTATATATAAACTATCATATGAAAACTTGAGCCTTTATCTCAAGTTAACCAAGTTACACTTATAGGGCAGGACTCAAAATCATTCACCTTTCATAATGTATTCATTTTCAGATGAGCCAGGAAGCGTCAGTGCTTTAAAAAGGTTTGTTAACAGCACTTCTACAAACGGTACCATTTCTGCAGCTGTAATGCTGTAAAGTAAAACACAGCTCTTTAATGATGAAACACATTCACAAGTTTCAAGCATTTTATAATACCACGATACAAGGAAATAAAAGATACTTACAGATATTTCATATTTAATGGACAAAAACTATTTAGCAATGCATTTATTTCTGCTTGAAAACTTACAGGGTAGTATTATTAGTCCCCCTCATGGTAAAGAGTCTTTCAAGAGCATGGGCTGCATAAGTATGGACTACAATACTTTCTGCTTGAAGGTGATTGATTAAAAGAGGAATAGATACCAATAGTTGTTCTTTAGGTACCTACAAAAACATAGCAACAAATTATATAAACGTTACATAAAAATACAGACTGCTCAACACCTATCTGCTCCAAGCTCAGCTACAAATTGAAAGCTTGGTAAACAAAGATATCCTGGAAGTCTTCTCCAGTTGCTAAATCACACCTTGACAACCAAGAGGTACCTATTTCTGTCATCTCCTACATGTTTACCACTGACTGCTACATTTGATAGTCAGTAAGTGCAAATATTCCTAAAGAATACTCATTTTTCCACTCTACTCTGTCTTAAGGAACAATTAAAAAAATATCAAGCTTTTTAAAAAATCCCTGATATTTTAAAGAGGTGAATAAAAGTAACAAAGCTTAAAAATAATATTCAAAACATTTCTTCAGCTGCCTCTCACAAACTAGAAAAGGTAACAGAGAACAAATTTGCTGTACTCTCCCTAACAACTGCTGTCATGACACAAATCATGTCAGGACACAATCTAGACTAAAACTCACTTGAAAAAGCTCCGTGTCCCACGGCAGTAAGTATACTAAAGTTCAGTGTTCCATCAGCATACGGACAGCATGCAGACTACATGTTAATTAGCTACACATACTAGTATCATTTACTTTAAAAAAAAAAAAAAATCAGCATAGGATGTTATCTAGGGCAGTCACACACCTGCTGAGCATCACCACATAGGTTAAATTAGTTAAACAAGCTTAGCAAGTATAAAATGACAGACTACAAAGTTTTTACCACAAGAATACAGGGAAAACTTACTTGGTTTCTAAAAATCATGATATATTTGATACCATCAGCTTTTAGAACAGGGAATTCATTCACTGCAAAAGAAAAACATGCAAGTCTTTTGGTATTTTTGATTACTGAGCATCGTACTGCATACAGACATGATATCAACTCATGCTTTTTTTTTTTCCTGAAAGAACACATGCAATGTATTGCCACACTGCTTAGTTTGCGTATTACCGTTGCAGGCACTTTTAGGTGGAATATCAGTTTTACTTGCAAATCATCACACCTTGACACCATTAAATGCACAGTCTAACTCTTTCATGTAAAGTTTCCTCTTCTAGCTCTGCTTCTAATAGCCTTCAATTACATGTTCCAAGACCACCCACTACCCTCCAAATATCCTAACTGCTAGCAGATAAAATAATCAGTTTGTGGCTTAAATCTATAAATCTTTAATCTCTTCAGCACAGGCTGATACAGGCTGCAGCCTAGCTTTCAGTATTTTAACTTCTATGATAGACAAAACTTTGAGAAGTTTGCCATACACAAATACAGAAATCAAATTACTGTAACTCAACAGGTTTAAGCATGTCAGCTGATAGCAACCATGTGAGTACACGCTCAAATCCTGAAGACAGCACAAAGCAGTTCACCTTTGTTTAAAGGCTCGTTCATTACAAGCCAAACTAATTCGCATTACTTTCCACGTGCCACATGTTAACAGTCTACACACCATCTTCTGCCTCAGAGATGACATGGATGTGAGATCATTCCAAACTGTATTTGAGTCTTAGGAGACAATGGCCAGCGTCAAGGTTCTAGTCATATTACAAAATTTTCTGCATGAAAATTAACATTAAACTTACCACTAGCAGACTTTAAGTCAGGTTGAATGTGATTCACAAAGAATTCTGTCAGATTAACAAGTTCATTGGCTTGTGTTATTCCATGCTAGGAAAAAAAAACCACACTATTATAATTATAGACGTCATTCAGCTATTCTTCTCACTCATTTTCATGGGTTTTTAATAAAAGGAATCTACAGCATACAGGCACATTGCAGAGGTGCCAATTCAATCATCTCAGAGAACCCTTTAATTTTTTGTTGTTGTTGAAGTGTCCAGTTTTCAGCTGTAACAGTATTGACGTTCAAAGTTATTAGCCCCGAGTCAAGGAGTAATAACACAGATCACAGTAATAATGAATCAACATATTAGACAGAATACTGCAATATTAGAAGCTTATTAACTTGATGCTTTTATTGTGACGGGCCCTTTAAAAAGGAAGAGTTTAGGACTCAAATTTGAGCTCTAAATTTGAACAGCTAGCAATAATCACTGCTTCAGTTTTCTCAGATGAAAAATGCAACTAACACAGAACAAAGGATTTGCACATGAATATTTATATATTAAGTTCTAAGTGATATTATCCTATGTTTGCCACTAAAGAGCATAGAAAGCGTAAGATGTATGTCTTAGCAGTTTGCTAATTGCTGGAAGACTGTGGTTCACATTATGCATCACGATTATTAGCATCTCCTGTGGAGTAATACAAAGTCGGAGTATTAAAGCTACAGGAAGAGACAGAATCTGTAGCAAAGCTGAATAAAGAAGCTTGTACAACATTTTTCACTATGCTCGCCTCAAATATTTCTTGTAAGGCCGCAGACAGTTGAACTATAATGTACTTAAACATACTTATTAGTATATTAAATTCTGTTCTGTAGGATGATGGGTAATTGGTATAAGGCTACTATTCCCAAATACAGTCTAGCTCAGGTATGTTTTCCAATATATCCAGCCTATTAGTCGCTTCTCCCCGAACAAGTAATAAGATTCATTTCAAGCCCAACAGTAGGGTTCATGCGTTATTTCCAAGATAATAAGCATTCAGGGGAAAAAAAGCGTTGGGAAATATAACAGGAAAATTAAGAGAGTCATTTGAATTCCTTCCAGTCTCTCCTTTTCAACACTTCTGATCTCCTGCACAGCTAAATTTGGCCTTCCAGGGCTTACAACTCTGGCTCAGTACCATGTAAAAGCACAGAGGCTCTAGACTCAAGCCAATTCTGTTTCTTTACAGGGGTGCCACACACATGCTAACAAGCCCGGCCAAATACTCCCACATGGTGGCTGACTTTGCCCAGTCTATGTGAGGACCAGATAACTCACTCACAGTTAATGGAGATTTGATGGTATATTAAACTGTGTCAACAGTATATGGACACTGATGGCATATTAAACCATGTCCATAGTATATGGACAGCTTTTATCTCTTCAATATTAAAATATTGCAAATACAATTATTCCTATTTTGAAGAAGCACAAAATGAATTATATCAATCCTCACATACATTCTACTTAAAGCCATACACGTTCACATACTATAGTGTAAAAGTACCTTCTGAGTCTGAGCTTTAGACGCCAAAGATGTAACAAGGTAAATAGCTGCATCTTTGTGCTTCCAGTTAACAGACGGATTTTTTGCATATTCTTGCAGCATGGAATTAACATATCCAGAAAAGATCCCTGTCACAGGCCCTTCAAAGAACTTGCACAAGCCTCTGACTAGATCACAAGCTGCTCTGCGCCTGGTGTCAATATCTGCATGAGAAACAGATTATTTAGATATGAGAATATAAACAACTCCTCTAAGCCATATCCCCACCTTCTGTTAATTGTTACTATTTTTATACATCAATGTGGAGAATTGCATTTTATTTACAGTCATAATTGAGACTAGAAAAGTGCATTTTATTCACTCTTTTGTACAACAAGAGGAACAGACATCTCCCAGTAGTGCTTGTGTATTACGCAGGTTTTACTGCCCTCTAAAGAAAGCTTCAATAAGCATGAAGGGGGACGCATTTTACTCTATTTTATTGATAACCATGCACCTGAAATACTAAAATTTGTAACAAATCTGCAAAAATTTCTTGTTTCAAGAGGAAAAAGCCAAAACATAATCTGGCCTTACATACAATATATGAGCAGAAAGGACACAGGAAAATAAAACAAGTGAATTGAATTGCAGCAGAGTAATTGCAACCTTTTGAGAGCAGTCTCAGAAGTACACATAAGATTTCTTGCCTAAATTCTCTTAAAAGCAGAAGTAGCTGACAAATAAAAGCTTCATATACACCTAAAACGCAGCCAATTCTGGATAAAAAGGATAAAATGTTTGCTTGAAAAAGTCTGAGAACATTTTCCTCCAATTTTGTCCTCCTCTGCAAGTGGAGTACAGTAATTTCTCAAACCTATTACAAAGTGTCAGTAATCCACTTTGCAGCACAGAACAGCATATACAGAATGTCACACAGTTTCAGAACTGGTTCATTTATGCTCCAGTCTGGCTGAAGACCAGACAGCTATAATCTGAAAATCAAGTAGCTCTGTTAACATAGCTCTTATGTTTTCAGAAAGGTTATTATATTGGTTTGAACAGAGCGCCAGTGCACAAAGGCTGGGTCGTGTCCAGCAGGCTTCACCACAGATCTGTATGCAAAAGTGGGAAAGTTTTAATTAAAACACCATAGGCTGCTAAATTCCGGGATGAGTTTATCTATGTTATTTAAAATTCTACATTTGGGAACTAAATACAGAACTATGGCCATTATTCAGCAATGACTTACAAGCTACACTTGCTGAAATGACAGTGCAGTACAGAACACGTAACAACCTGAGTAAGATAAGAAGCTATAGAAACACTGTTCAAAACAAAGAGCTGCCAGAATGGGCATGTCATGACATGAAATTTCACCAAAATTTGGATAAAACCTCTTGGGAGAAAAACATGTTCCCAATTCCAAAAATAAGTTAAGAGCCTCAGAAGATTGCTTCAGTTCTTTAGAGCGATATTTAAAGGCCAAGTATTCTTAGTATAAATCTGTGGATTACCAGATCCTTCCAAATCCCTTCTTATATATTCTTCAGAATTGTCTTCAAATGCTTCTTCATCAGCCGCTGAAAATATAAAATACATAGGCAATTAAATACCAAGATCTCTCTTTTTGATCGTAAAAAGCAGTTCCATCTGTATCAACTTGGTATTTTTTCCAAATAGTTTCCTGTAACATTAAAAGAAATAAATCAGAACTATCCAGAGTAGCACATTTAGCTTGCTGCTCCACAAACTACATTTTCTTTTTTTTTTTTTTTCTTTTGCATTCATGATCTGATATATTTCTGGAAGGAAGAAGAAAAAAGAAAAAAGCAAAACAGAAAGAAAACACAACATATTCAATATTAAGTATATTTAAAGTAAGAAGCTTCCAGAGTCAAAACTTAAAGGAAGCTTGATTCCTTGAATTATTCTGGTATTCACTTTAAGCATTTGAAGTTACTGGTAGCACTCAGCACATGACCTAGACTTTTCATGCTTTCAATGTGAGATCACAGTAATACAGAAAAATGATCAAGACATAATCATACAACAGTTCTACAAAGCCCACAGGACAACAATCCATTGTAGAAACTTGGTTCTAAATCTAGTACTAAAGTACACAAAAGGTAATCCTCCATTCTTAGTCCTGTAACTGTAATTATAATGATATGTTACTTTACAGGTTATCTTTTACTAAATTTTTTAAAGCTCAATCAAAAAAAAAAAAAATTTACCTCTAAATTCCATATTGGGAACAATAACCTTTTCACAGATGCTCGTCAATGTATTCTGGTCTTCAAACAGATGCTTATAATGTGGTCGCTCGCAAACGGAGGCCAGAAACTGGATTGCATTACTAACCAGCTAGAACAACACATATAAAATCCACACAATTTTAGCATTGCTGTCCAATTTATAATTCATTATTGCACTTCACAAGATCAGTTTATAACAACTTACCAAGTCATATTTAACTTCCTGGCCTGTTGTGACTAACAGATTCCAGATTGCTGTTACAAAACGTGGCAGGTAGGGCTGGAATTCTTCATCATATTTTTGAGCATACAAAGCAGCATTATCACAAATTTGGGATTTCAAGAGCTCCAGTAATCCAGCTTCCTCTTCATCCTCACATAAAACAAAATAAAACTTAAACATCCAAACTTCAACACTGCTTTTTAATATTAAAAGTTATCAACATATTTGAAGGCAATACTTAGAGTATTATTTCATTGTGTTCTAAAAAGGTCAAAGAAATGCTTGCCACCTGGCTGGAATGCTATTTTCCCCATTTGTACTGGAATTGCACTACAAGTCACACATTTGTGCTATATACCTATATTCCAAATGTAAGAACTACACGCACCTAAATGATTTAGCGTTAAGTTCGACACAATTAATTTACAACAGGGAAAAGGTTAACACAAGGCACTGAAAGACGCATGTAGAAGGCGCATGCATAGAAGGCATATCTCGTTACTTTAAATGGGGATAGTTGCTGAAAGTACTCTTCCCACACACACCTGCTGCCACTTACTCCCAATCCCTCCCCGTATCAGCACGGATGTTTGTGGAGCCACAAAGCAAAGCAAGTTGGGAAACTGAGCTAGAAAAAAAAAAAAAGTTCCCACCTTTCAGTTTTAACCCATATCACTTCCCTGAATCAGTTCAGCCCACACCCATACAAATGCCTGTGCTGGGCAATGACCCACAGACACAAAAGAAGAGCAAGAGAAAATAGGAAGGCTTATTTTAGCAGCAGCATTAGCCTAAAATGACCATGAAACTATAGAAAGAGATACACTTTTTAATATACCTCCCTACATATTGTTAAGAAATCTACCCAATGCTTTGGCTCCATCATGTGGCAAGCTACTGCACTGTATCTGGAAAACATTAGCATTTAAAATAAAAAAGCATGCACATGCTTTGATGGCCTGGTATCACTTTTCACATAGGAAACTAGTTCTCATCATCAGACAAACTGTGACAGCAAATGCTGAACAACTACTTATGAAGGTCATGCTCAACTGTTTGAGATTCTTATAGATATTCTGTTTTCTAAAACATAGCACATGAACTACTGAATGGTACAGAAAATCTCAGCCTTATGACTCCAATAAATCAGGTAACTTCAGCAGACGCCCTCGAAAGAATCTACTCATACATACGTATCTGTGATTTCATTTTTGTGCACAGCTGGCATACCCGTAGCTGATACAGAACTTTAAGAACTGAAGCCCAGATCTCTTAAGAGAAGTAGACAGCCCCATTGTTTAAGTCTCATCTCCTTACAGTCACTGTATCCGTTTGTTTACCCAACAAAGAAAACTTGGGATTGTTCAGCAAGTTAGAGACCTCAGTCAACCCTCTCCAAGACACAGAGACAAAGGGGGAAGTTTTATGCAATACTTACATCAGTCTGCAATAGTTTATTATCTAAAGTTAAAAGGCTATGAAAATTTGTCATCCATGTTTCCATGTTATCTTCAAAAAACTCAGGAAGATCCTGTGGGGAAAAAAAGCATAAATCCACATTTTAATTTGACCGCAACACTTCAATAATCTGTCTATGCTATAAGGTGGAATCTGTTGTGAGGTGAAGTGCGGGAAAACAGTCTCCAAGATAAAATATTAAAAATAAAAGACAACCCTGCCCCCCCCGCCCCCCAATAGAGGCTTTGGGGCACAAAATTTCTGATCGCTCAGCTGTTACACACTATACAGCCTGCAGTTTTCTAAAGAATTAGCATTACTGTCTGAACAAAAAAAGCACAAGCCCTCCTAGCTCCAACTTGCTCTTTCGCCCAAAGTTGAAAGCACAGCCTGAACAATCAAGGCAAGATCATCGCGCTTAACAGGCTTTTGCTCATGTTCATACATAACGAACATTTGCTCATGTTGATATATAAGGAACCTCAGAGTCTAGTTTTACAACATTAAATAAATGTACTATATGAAAAGGTAAATTCAGTTCTGGTCTTAAAAAAACAAACAAAAAACCAACAAAAACAAAAAAAACCCCACAGCACTACCAGAATTACTAGTTGCTATAGAGTTACTAGTTTTAAACTAACTGACTTTCATTGACACAACTGAGCTCATGCCAGTATAGACTTATTTATAAAGGAGCACAGTGGGTAACAAATTCAGATACGGGACTTCTTTGCAGCTCATGGTCAGAGAACTACCTCCACAGCTCCTCGTTGCTATAACAAGAGTTTAGCCTTTCTTCTTAATCTTCTATACAGACAGGGCCAAACTAACACATTAACTAACCCCATCCTTACTGTGCCTTTACTCCAGCGTTGATGCAGACTGTCAACTTTTATTTTGGCCACAAAGCATGGCCTTAAAGGCTGCCTCAAATGGATCCTATAAATAAGAGCATAATAACTTTGTGAGATCAAAGCAAAATCAATAATTAGAAAAACAAGGAGATTCACCTGAAAATTTAAACTGTAGAACAGCTTCGCAATTAGAATGAGAGAAGAAAATAAAACCTTCAAAGCACTAGCATCATTTGCATGTGTGCTGCAAAGTTCAATTGTGGCCTAGAAAAAGACAAAAAACTTAGTCAAATAACACACAAACCATATCTATAAAAGGCATTGAAAAGTAAGCTGCAATAATGTATTTAATTTCTTTCTTTTTATAGAAAACACACTTTTCTTCCTCTTCCTGGTTCTGTCAGGTCTCACCTCCTGATTCTAGTTTGAACCTCGTTATCAGTTTCAAAGCAACCGTTCTTAAGTTTCCATTTTGTAGGCACTCACAATAGGCAATTCAGAATGATAAACTTGCTTTAGGAATGATTCAACAATGAATACCTTAAAGAGATTTGTCAAGGGCAACGCAAAGGCATCAAGGACGAGTTTGATCTCTGTCCATAATTCATTTGACTTAAATTCATGGCGGTACCTGACAAGCGAAAGAGATAAGCACACAAATAAAATACAGTCTTGACACTTACTCCTATAACTCGCCCACAATTAATTTTTCATGCTGAACCTTGAGGTAAATCCTACTAACCAAACACAAAAACTAAACAACACAGTTCAAGTAGATCAAGCAAGGTGTAAAATTTGATAACCTCTTAATTACAGTCCTATTACGGAGTCAATAAGCATAATTAGAAGCCATACTTACAGACTTCGTAAATACACACATCTAATTTTAACGGTCAAAATTTATAGAGTTGAACAGAAACTTCACAATCCATATACAAACTCCACTATTCCTGGTACCTTTTAAACAAAGAGTGAGCAGTGCGAAGGACTCCATTAATGACATGGAAATCTCCACTTTGAAAGCGATTCACCATTTCTGTCAGCAAGTCTGGCCATTTCTGAGGAAAGTCTTCCCGGCCAATAATACTAATTGCATCACTCAACTGGAAAGGAGACATAACTATTACATGATATAATAAGCACACCACTCGGGGAAAAAAAAAATGCAGCACTCATGCCAGATATTACAAATATCTAAGAAAAAATCTTATTATTCTCGTCAGATTCAAAATTATTGGGTTAAAGATCTACTAGTTTTCACAATAAATAAATATCACTTTAAATCCTATGTGTACATGCAGTCCTTCTTCATGGAATTACTGTATTTAATTGGCTAACGTTGGAACTCAGCTGTAGGAGTATTTATCAATAAAATAATTGCATTAAGTAGGCAGAAGTAGCTATAACATTACACTCCAAGGTATTTAGATTGGTATGACACCACTGAAAAGGAAGCTGAGCTCTGCTGTGCCAATAACCAGAGCTTCCAGACACTCTTACAATATTCTAAAAGTCTCATGGACACAACTAGAAACTGTCATATTACCTGCTTTTGAATTTGTTCTGGGCTGCTGAGCATCAAGGGCACTATGTTGGCTTTAATGGCTATCCGGTCTGATTCACATATTTTGTTTGGTTCATCTTCAATCTAAAATTAAAACAGTAAGTCACGGGCACATTAGTATAGCCTAGGCCCTGAGAGAACATCAGTATTTCGGAAGTCAATTATCTACAGAAATTAATCATAACTATTACATTTTTAAAGAAACTAAACACAAGATCCATCAAACGTAAGCCATGGCCTACCATGGAGCTGTAACAGTAATACTTGAACAAAACTGAAAAAAATATACTTTTCTATAAAACCTTGACCTGTATTTTCTCCTTCACCACTACGGTCTTTTCATGTGTGTAACCTGAGGAGTTCCTATTTAAAAAAAAAAAAAAAAAAACACGCAATTTAGCAGCTGCAAGGGTGGCTGCACATGCCAATAACATACACAAGTTTATCCAACAGTCTCCTTTTCCACCTCACCACATGTCTATCTTCACTGCTACTAACCTTGACAGATCAATTTTGTTCCAGCTGCCTCAAGCCTTATATTCGAGAAAGAGTACATTAAGACGGGTGTAGGTTACACACAAACACATGAAATTGACTTTAAGAGTTATCCAATCATTTCTAAATACAGATGTCAACAATGCCAATTGGTGGTAAAGTAGGAAGTTATCTTTCTAAACCTCAGTTCTTTAATAGAAAACAGTGACAGCAGTGATAGTCACAGCATCTATGATGACAGTACCAAAGTTCAGAAACCTAAGAGTTGCCCACAGCAGTTAAGAGGCAAGTACCTCCAGAGCATAATTCAATGCTTCTAAGATGCCTTAAACCAGATAACACTCCTACACTACCCTCCTTCTCACTTCCCTTCCACTATCTTCCTAAAAACTTACAAATAAAAAAAAATTTCAGCAATTTCAAGAGCTATGCTTAGCTATAAAAAATAACAGACAACTTGTTTTTCCTTTATATCACGTTGTACTGAAGTACACACATACATCTAAAAATCCCCAAAGAAAAATATGATATTTAAAAACTGAGCATTACAACTTATTTGATGTGAAAGGCAGCAATAAACACACCAAGAAAGCTCCAAGTAGAGAGGTAGCACTCATAGCTCTGCTGTGCTCCATTTAGATGGGTGAGAAAGGTAGAAATGGCGGCAAGATTAGCAACAGCAAATCCTAACATGGGTTTATTTATGAAATTTTCAAAGAAATGAGACATTTTGACAAGACATTAAAGGCAGCACAGAGGAGACTATTTTGTAGGTACTTTAGAAAAAACAAACACTTGTCTCCAGAAATACCCTGTATGTATGACTCTCCAGGCCCTATTAATCAAAGGGCCTGGGGAAGCAAAACCATTTTCCTTCCTCTGAGCTTTGTATCTGTCAAGTCCAAGGCTGCTAACTTAAAACATGTGATCTAGATAAGTTAGCCTTAGGGCAGTATTTTATGCTCATACAGCTGCTCTCAAAATGAAAGTGAAAGCTTAATTTTGGACAAAGGAAGGTGCTTGAAGCCACCCAGCAATCACCATGGTCCTCTGGATGCCCTTACTACATAGCATCTCCAACACAAAATTTCATCCTTATAAAATTTGATCCTTACATCAGTAACCCATAACAAGGAAGCCATTTACAAATTCTTCCGTAACAGAGTGTTATTGCTCCTTACAATATACCACAGATGAAGATGCAATTTGGGAGAAATGACTGAAAATGCAGTATTACAGCCACAAAGAAATTTTGTGTCAGACTGAATGCACTGATCTTACTTAACAGAAGCATCTAAGCAGTCTCAAATCTGCTTAATACTAAGGGGGGAGGGGGGGGGAGGGAAGACCACCACATCTGCACATTTTTAATAGACTTCAGCTAAGAAGTCATGAAGAAACACCAAATAGTTTCCCTGGAATACAAGATTACACATTTGATACTTTTTCAGAGATAGAAATGGCACTTTCAATGAGATAAGGTATACAAGGCAGCAAGGAAAGTCTCTTCCTACTTCACAGGCTGAGTTCTCAAATGCAACAACTTCCACTAGAAATTAAATGTCGTGATTGCTAAAAGCTCTGAATCAAAAATACTTCAGAACTCTTCCAAACAAAGGATAAAATGTGATTAATGGCAATATTTTATATTTTACTTCCACAAATACCTTCAAGTGTAATGAACTGGCATTGCCACATCCTTCCATGCCTCACAAGCATTTACATGAAGGAGATGAACTAGTATGATCTCCTCCAGCAGCAGTGCTGGCTTGAAATGTTTGCAATACTATGAAAATATACACCAGCCAAATTGTCCATCTCCTAAGCACAGACATTTTACAACCATTTTACCTTAAATAATACTACAATTGGTTAAACAGGCTTCAAATATTGAATGCATACATCTGCAGAAGTATTGCAAAGAACTCCTCCTTCATCATTTTATCACCTAGCTTTTTTTTTTTTTTTTTTTTTTTTTAAAATAGAATTGACTAAAACACTCCAGGTTTTAGTTCCTTATAAGTAGTGCCCTGTGTTTATTCTCTGGATGATCCATCTTCTCTCTCAAAGTCCAGACATACACGCATTTTCCAAGCTTAAGAGTCTCTTGCTGTACCTTAAAAAGATTATGAAATCTTAGCACAAGCACTCACTAGAATACTTACAATTCTCCAGTTTCTTTTAATATAGTTCTTGAATGTTACAGATGCACAAACTTTGATGACATTTTCCTGTGATTTCTCCAGCAGCGTTAAGAGTAACAACGGATAATTCTGGCTTCCTTCAACTGACTCGAGAAACTTTTCCGCTGTAAGAGAATATACTAAGGCTAACAAAAACCGAACTGATTTTTCTGGTTGTAGCCCTATCATTTCTCAAACGTCTATTTAGAATGACTAACTGATTAACACTTCTCCAAAAATTCAAAAGAACAGAAATGTAAACAGGACAAGTCTGGCAAAACATACTGTAGCTTTTCTACTACGAAGCGCTTTAATGCTTCTGCTATAAACAAAAGCTCCGAGTTCAGAGCAGCCTGTGGAAATTTTGCCTCCTCACCATTTTTAAAAGCCATAACCTGACAGCAGCAAATCTGGGTTCACTGTTAGCAGCACTGCCTACATTCAGAAAGAGCATCACTGCTTTAATTAATAACAGTATGAAAATGGGGAAAAAAATTACATTTACATACATCCTTCATAAACTTTCTTAGGAGATTGAGAACTTCTGTAAAGAGGCTATTGCACAAACTTCCACGGAAGTTTGTTATACACAGATAGGAGAGGCAAATAAACACCAATCTTTCTGGTCACATGTGGCACCTAATCACTTACCAGGACGCCTTATAGCAGGATCCGGATCTAGCGTTTTCTTTAGATATTCAGTTAAAGTCTGTAAATTGGCATCACTAAGCTCCATTTTGGCAGAACCTGAAAGCCACAAATAACTCTATGTTAAAAATACAGATCAAGAAATCTATCTTATAAGTGACACATACACAGAAGTAGATTAAACAGAAGATGCACATCAGGTTTTCTGAGTATACCTCATAGGCCATGGTCCTATCTCATACGTTTGATTCAAGAAAACGAGTTAGTGTGCAACCAAGTACAAACAGAACTCATTCCATGAACCAGGTGCAGCCAGAAGATCATTTCTTCCCTCACTTGACAACATGAATTTGTTTTTGCTGCTGAGAACAACTATTAGCCCCAGAAACCTGCCCGCGTTGAAAAAGCTGAGTAGCTGTGCTCTAGAGAATTGTAAAAGAATAATCCAAAGTGTATTAGAAAGTCAAGTTCTGTTCAAAAAAAACATACTTGTCATGTCATCAGTAGAAAATACCCAACGCAATTTTTTTTTAAATGGAGCCAAAAAAATGTACAAAGCCACAGGGTTTGTCCATGCTGTAAAAATAGATGAGGATAGGCAAGAAATTAAACTGCAATAGTTAATACAGAATAAATATGCGTAAATAAGTCTAAATTACTCCTCTCAAGGCATCCTCCTACACACATTCTCTTCCTTACTACAGCAATGCATTAATGTCACAGCTTTCATTAGAATCAATCAGATTACAGTAACACTAAAACACTATCAGGGCATGCTTTAATGGACATTTTGGTATTTTAGGATACCATCAACCATTCCGCCCATCTTTCTCACCTCCAGCAGCACAGCTCATTCACTACAGAAGCAATATAGAAGGAGGGCTTCTATTTTTTCCTCTGGAGTTTCTAATTATCAAGATAGAGTGGAATTTGTCTGTCCCGCTTTGGATTTGGCCTATGACCCGTGCAATGAATACAGTTTATATTTAAGCATATTTGCAAAGGCAGCAAGTTTTAATGACTCAATTTCTAACTATGGCATTTCTATCACTGAAAGAGAAAGCAACTGCATCCTCCTGATTTAAATCAAAGTTAATGAGTAACTGAGATCCCAATACATTGTGCAGGGAAGAAAAAAAACACCCCCCACCCCACAGTCCCCTACCTCCCATATTTCACCCCTCTCTCTTTTTGGGGTTTACTTGTTTGCCTGTAGCCTCATTCACCAATTTACATTAACCATTAAAATCCTAATAAAATGCAGCATTAGCAATCAGCACCACTAAAAGTTGGTGCATTATGATATTGAAACTAATACTTACGTATCATTAAAAGAAAAAAAATTATCTGCACCAGGAAAATTTACAAGGCTGATGTACAAATCCATGTAGAAACCTTTTACGAAGACTGAACTTTACGCAGCTGAGAAACCAAAGCGAAACGTAAAACTCACAATACTGAGTGGCCTTTTAAAAATACTTCACATACTAATATAATACAGGGGTCCACGTAAAACAATATATCATACGTCTCAAGCTGACTGACAGTTCACTTTGCAGGATAAGTATTAAGATTTGAACCCATTATTCAATCACTCATACATAGGATATTTACAAAAACTATGTGCGATTTTACTAGTTTTTCACCTGCTACCTGTTTACTCTTATATCCTTCTCTTCCTCTAGCTATTTATTTTTTTGGTTTTCCATTACATTTAGGAAATGAGTATTTTAGCTTAAAACATAGACATATAGACACGAGCAAATTAGTATTTTATTCCCATGGCATCACCCACTTTTCCATCCTATATTCAACTTTACCAATCACGTGCTGCTTCTGTGAGCAACGGCTTACAAGTCTTGGCATCTGACATTTCTGGCAGTGTTTGGTCCCCTAGGACTACTAGATATCCCATCCTTTTTTCACATGAAGGAAAGAAATGGTTTTTCTTCATAGCAGTGTTACAGAGGATAGAAAAATTAAAATATGCTGCAAAAAAAATTTTAAAAACAGTACTCTTTTTAAAAGAAAAAAAATCAGATCCTGCTTATATTATTAGTTCAAAGACCTACGCCTGTTTTAAACAGAAGAGCAAGGGGTCTATTTGCAAGATTACAATTACGGGGTAGTTGCCAGCACAATACTACAGCTTTTAGTTAGGTCCTGACATACGCCCCCTCAAAAGGTTATAGAAAATCAGGATATTTTCAGTCTCTCTCTTCAGAAGAAAACCCACAGAACATACTTAATGCATTAACGGTTTGGGTCAAATTAATGATAAACCACATCACAAAAACAGACGACTATACCACTCCCCCTCCAAACCGGGCGCTGCAGGCAACTTCCAGAGCACGCCGCTCCGGCGCCCGCTC